CCCATCTCTTGCTGTGCCATTTTATGGATTTATTCATAGGTTAAATTGCTCTCCTGCTGTACCACCAAAGGAAAGGAGTGCTCATCTGGTAAGGAAAACTCACAAACTTATCCCTTATCCCTTCTCCTCTTCTTCTTCCTTCTTTTTCCATGGACTAGTAATATCCTGCCAATTCATGAAGCTTTTGGTCCATCCTGCTATCCCATCTGGTCTGACCTGCCTGTGATATGATCTTACATTACTTCTCAACCTAGTTTGGGGTATGGTGGGCGGAGGCATGGGAACCCACATTTTATATGTGAGAATCCCCTAAGAAAGACATAATATCTACTTAAGCTTTCTACAAACTTGGAATGTTTTAAAATAAATGCTTTTCCACATGAGAGATGCATCATTAAGATTGCAAGGAATAAGGCCAAGTTTTATAGCAATGTCAGAAACTCATGAAGTCAAACCGGCATCTGAACAGAAGAACAATAACACATCTGCTCATCCTTGTTTTGCTGTGAAAAGAAGGCTCTTGAGATTGATACTTGATGCAGAATATGTGTTTATCGCTAGGGACTGTGGTCCTATTTCTGATCTTTCCATGAGGAAAGGTTGACAGCCAGTGTGTTCCGCTTTTCTGCTCTGCTTCTCTCTCCGCTAAACCATCTTCATTCCAGCTGCATTCATTGCCAGAAAGATAGGTTTGGGATGCTGGCTAGCCACCAGATACAAAATCTTGCACCTGTCTGCCAGATGTCTGCAATTGAGTGTGGCACTGCTACACCATCTGCACTGTAGCCTGGCAGACCCTCTTCTCTAAGTAACTTGGCCCTGAAGCCAGTTAATGAAGAGAATCAATTCAAATATCTTCCACTTTACAAAAATATATATTTCCCCCTTTTGTATCTTTTTATGTCTTACAGGGCCTGCCTAAGTGTGTTCCTTCTCTGAAATTGCCATCCTGTGTGAACTCACTTTTTTCTGAGCATCCAAATGACAGTGTCAGTTTGCTGCATTCGAGTGTATATTCTGGTGTTATATTAGCCTGTTTTGTTTTTTGAGACCTGATTTCAAGCAACATTTTTTGTAATAAAAAACACAGATGCAGCTTCTACTTGACTGGGGAGGAGAGGCAAAGAGCACTATTGAGGAATGTTAAGGGTTAAAGTGCCTTTATTTAACACTAACATCCTGTAGTTTTCAGCAATTTTATTTAGTCTCATTTTTATAATAAAGTAGCACTATTTCAGTATTTCAAAGGAAAAGAGAAAAGTGAGGGGAAATCAGTAATTAAGCACTTTGCCACAAACAAAAATGTAATTGGGGCAATGAAGTGAATATTAATAGGTTATTCATCTTTAATCACTACCTATGCATATTAGGAAGATGTAAAATGAGCTGAACCTAGAAGGCAGAATGTTTGGTCCTGCTAGGAGACATAGCTGAAGGGAATGATAAAGACTATAGAGGATCTTGATTTTAGGAATTGGCATTGCTATGTAATATAGCACTATGTTAAGTTTCCTTCCCCCTTCTAATGTGGAGTAAATGCCACTTCTTCCTTCTGCCTTGCTGGCAGGAGCTCAGCAGAGATTAGGAATTCTCAAAGTGCTCAGACCTCAGTAGATTGTCCTGCCTCTTAGCTTACCTTATGATCCAAGCTACAGGCTTTGTAGAAGAAGAAGAAAAAGAAAGGAATCTTCCAATTTAATGCATAAAGTATTCAAACCAAATTGAATGTGAAATTACATTGGCTTCTTCAATACATTGTAGATTCGAAGCAAGGCTCCAGTTTGAGCCAAGGCTTAACTGATCTCTTCTAAAATGTTAATGTTGTGCAGTCAAAGTATAGGACGCTTTATAGAAGATTGCAAATAGGAATGGATGACTGTGCTGATTTCAGTTTCTCGTTTTCTAATTCTTAGTTCATTCTGTCCTGATTTTGCATCAGTTTCTGTGGAAAAAAGTCTCCATGAAAATTTGTATGCATTCTTGTGTGTATTTCTCCTAATATGTAGTAGGTATTAATGTTTGCCTAATGTACACTTTTTTGCACTTGATATACTCATGTTTATATGTGTGTTTCCTTCATATATACATTTTGTAGGTCCAGTATTTATTTATTTATTTATTTATGAAATTTATATGCCGTCCAATTACCAGCGTAGCTCTTGTAGGTAAAATTTTTAGGTGTTTGGAGAACTGCAGTGCAAACTGTGAATACCAAAGTAAAATTGTTCTGGTTTGCATGTTTAATTGAGAAGGGTGAATTAGGTGATTTTTGTCAAAATGCAAACTGAACAAAATTCTTTCCTATTACAATCAAAGAAAACAAAACTAAGCTTCTCTCTTGAGAAACCTATGACCATGAGAGTGATGACAGAAGCAAAGTTAGCAATGCGTGAGTGTGACATTTGGTTGTGGAATTCTCAATTTTATACAGTCCTAATACCTCAGTCCAGCATCCTAACTCTGTAACTATTAAGTCCTGTATTTTCAAAATCTGGCTCCCTCCAAATAAATCCTTAATCATTTTAAAAATGAGATTCATGACTACTAATATATGTAATTGGGTATGACAGAAAAACTGGCTCAGTAAGTACATTCATGTCAAGCTGTCCCCTGGCAACAAACCACAGTTAGTTGCTTGTTCTGCAAACAAGCCATAGTGTGCCCAGGAAACAATCGGGCTCACTGTGGGTTGTTTGCCCAATCACTTCTTCTTGGTCCTCCTGCTGATAGTCCAGGGGGTACCATAGCAGGGCCAGCTTGTCTTCCCACCTCTGCTGTCACTCAAATATATCCATACTGGATGTTTCAGGAGCCAAACCAAATTGAAAATAAAAATCAAATGCTTACAGTTTTGTGCCCTTCGCTATTCATTCTCACTGGTTGTGGCATATCTCCCGCACCCAAGATTTAGGATTTTTAATAATCAACAAATCAATGAGCCTCATATAAAGGAGTTGAAGTGTTCATGGTTCAGCTGTTTGTGCTGGATTTATGATCCATAAAGTTGTATGCCCTCCTTAGTCCAAAAAAGAGCTTCCTCTTTTATGCAGGAATTGTGGGAAGTTCCCTAAATCAGTGTGGCCTTCATTAGGCATGCAAAGGGTATATGAGAAGAGAAGGTTGAAGAATGTTTTAAAAGATTCTACAGAAAGTTAGCATTACAGTAGATAGTGCTTCCAAAATGGGAGGCATCACCTCTGTCAATGCATAACTGTCCATTTAAGGCTGGCTTGGATTTCAGGTGGCTGATCACCTCCCTATATTGGGCCGTGATCACAAGTACGTACACAAAATATGAAGTGCCTTAACGTAGATTCATGACATACTTTTGGACTGATAGGTGTATGCACATATATCTCCTGGTTGCAGATCAAGCCACTGGTCCATCACCAAGGTTAATGAATCATGACTAGATTGTCAGGCAAACTGAAGGAGTGGACCATGGAATTGTATGTGTCATCTTGTCTGCAGAGTTCTCCCACCTACCCCTTTCATCATGGTTAGTGTCTCATTCCATTGATGTTAAAAATACAGCGGACAGGTTCATGCATCTTGACAAGCCACTGAGGCATTTTACCACTGTTGATCTAATGTTGTGGTATTTCAGCATGGTAGGTTTGGACTTAAAAAACCACGAACAGAAACAATTGTGATTTCTTGGTGACATGATGGCTTGTTGTGTTGTCCAAACCCAGGAAACACAACCCATCATCAGGCCAGAACCAAAGAACTCCTTGGCAAGAACGGTCCATTGCCATTTTTGCCAAATGGCTAGCCAGAGAGCACCACTGACAGCTGCTGTTTTGCACAGGTGCCATAGACATCCCTGTTCTGCCCGCCTCCTGCCCTAAGGATCTTCTTTGTGCAATCTGCTGTGGAAAAGAGCAGCATCTCTAAATCTATTCTCCTGATGAGCCCTCTTCTGGCTCCCAGTTGTCACCGAGGTGTCAGGCTGGACAGACCTCTGGCAGGTGGGAGTAAGAAAGGGGGGCAAGTAGCACCTCTACCTTGTCACAATTGCTTGCAAAAAAGGCACTAGTGTGGGTGCTGGGTTGGTGATAGTGTGTCTGCTTTTTCCTGTCTGTGCAGTATTGTACTGTATGTACTGGAAATTATTTTACTTCTGCTTTGAGTTTTGCTGCATGCTTTCCTTCCCCCTATTATCTTTAACTGAATTCTGTTTTAGCTTGGCAAAGCAGTATTACTGAATAACAGCCACAGAGGTTTTAAAGGCCTCCTGCTGTAATTTGGGGAGGGAAAATCATACACTAAAGGGTACCCCTGTGCATACCTTTTTAGAATGTCTGTTTCACTCCCAATTAAGCAGGTGTGAGTTTGCACCTTTAATCCCCAGGCAAGAAACATGTTGCTTCAGGAAAATTAGAAGAGGAAGGGGAACAAAACAAGTAAAGCTCAGATATTTTATAAGGCAATACAGGATCAGGACAAAATGTGTCATCTTTGTTGGTCCAGACATGCCATTTCCCCTGCCTGGATTTGGGCCTGAAAGACCAATGCAAACTGTGGGTACATGAAGAGTAAGTTATATGCAAGGACACTGTCACTTAAGGCATCAGCTTCCCATTTCCTGGCTCCTTGGGAATTGAGCCCACATGTTTAGCCTTAACTGTTGCCTTAGACTGGAAGAAATAATGAAATTTATAGTATAGATTCATTTGCTCTGAGCTCTCAGTGAAGGATAGGTTTCCTCATTTGTTTGCAAATGCTTTCTTCAGAACAGGCTAAGAAGGAATGTAAATAAGTGAAATGAGTTGTTTGGGGTGCCAGTTTTGCAAAAATATTTGACAGGACTTCAAACTGATAGGTGGCATCTTAACTTCCTGAATTTGGAATATTTTCTCGTTTTCTTAGAAATAACTTGAATATGAGATATTCGGTTAAAAGTAAAGATGAATTAATAGCTAAATATGGGTATTGTTGTGAATTAGAACAATGCTATAGATGAAGTTCTCACTCCTTTCCTCTTTTTCTTTTCCTAGCTGCCTGCCTTGTCCTTGGCTGCATGATTTATCCTGATGGCTGGGATGCAACAGAGGTGAAACGGATGTGTGGTGAAAAGACAGACAAGTACACACTTGGGGCTTGTTCAATCCGCTGGGCGTATATCCTGGCCATTATTGGAATCCTGGATGCTCTGATCCTGTCATTCCTGGCATTTGTACTTGGCAATAGACAAGATAGCTTACTAGCAGAAGAACTCAAGCTGGAAAACAAAGGTAGGACTGCTTTAAAGAGCCATGTTATTCTGAGGTGCTTCAAGGCACACACTTCAAAAACAGAAACCAAAAAAAAATCACCGTTCTACTATGTCCATGTTCTTTGTTTGTCAAGAATAGTGCTTGCTTTCATGTTAAAATCACCCTGCCTTTTTATAACTACCTTTAGTTTTTGGAGGAAAGAAGCCTTTTAAAGATGCAGTCCTATGCATATTTATACAGAAAAAAAGTTCTGCATTCCAAATTAGATTTTGCACATTTTTTCTGTACTCAGAAAAGCAGCCCTTAATTCTCCTAAAGTTGTTAAAAGATGTATTTAGGTTTTGCTCTTCAGTTTTCCCACTTGTACCATTTCTTGTCTTTGCCTCCATAGCATCTTCTTCTTTCATGCTTCCCGTGTTCTTCATCTTGGCCTCTGCGCATCACACATCATGGGTGCTGCTCCTGTGCATGCCTGTAGCTCGGGAAGATTGAAACAGCTTCAGTGATTTTTGGCAGGAACTCTGAACCCCTCCCCTCCCAGCCAAATATTGGTGTCATTTACATTCCTGTAAAATGTTCCCTTGCATCAGAGAGCAAAGCAAGGAATGCCTGTGCTAGGGGGACTGGTGAGGTAGGCAGTGGTGTGGGCCATCCAATAGTGGAAGACTCAACAAAACTCAGAACACATTGCAGTCCTTGTTCTGCCTAATTCATTGTGTTGTCCTGGGCAAATGTGTCAGGGTACAGTTTTATGCATGTGTAGATGTTTAGTGAAGTCCTGCAACTCACAACATTCTCTGGGGGAATGCTGGGACTTGTGGGATTCTTTTTTGTCTATCTGTTCGTAGAACTGCAGCCTTTATTGCTTTATGTGATCACTGGGTGTTGATGGTGAGTTTTATTTTAACAGTAATTCTGAAATGTAATATTTGTTTTTCATAATCTTTAAATAACTAAGATCCTGTTAACCCACCTTAGACCTAGTCAGATTAGGTTTGTATCACTTAGTATTACCTGCTCTGACTGACAAATCAAGCTAGGCATATGAATGCAAAGCAAATCTGATTCCTGATTTAGTGTTCAGCCTGAGGCTATCCTGTGACCTTTAGCAATGGCTATTTCTTTCTTTCTTTACTTAAAGCTTTTCTATCCTGTCCTATTACACAAAGACTCAGGATGGTCTGCAAACTGCAGGCATTTGGGGATCTTGTCTCAAGTGATTCCAGTCATTCCCAGGTAGAAGAGAATGAGGATAAGCAGTCCTTCACCATCCTTCTAAGACAGACTTGGGCAGTGTTGGGCAAGTGTTATGAGCAATGCCATGGGCAGTCCCAGATTCATTACTGAGGTTGGCATATCCATTCACAAAACACCTATTTCTCAGGAAGGCAAACCGAAGAGGCTGAGAGAAAAGTAGCTTGCTGAAAAACCTGAAAGCAAAGTAGTAGAGTCTGGGGCCTCCCCATCTCACCCCTAGTCTCCCTGCTTTTTTCCCATATTAGATCATCACCAGCCATCCCCATCTCATCCTCAGCTTCCCATTTCCTTCTCCCAATTTGTCAGACTACCCCCAGCTATGCTCTTTCATATTGCATCCTGCCTCAGGCCATCAGTTTGTCCACACCCCACCCTGACTTCTTCAATCCACCTGCTCAGATGAATGAGCCTTGAGGTATGGCTGATACTGTTAGATCTCATTATATTGTTTCCTGAATATATATGGAAGGCAGTCCCGCTTAGAGTAGATTCATTGAAATAAATGGGATTTAAGTTAAAATAACATTAGATACAATCTAGAGGTAGCACTGGGTTTGTTGGTGGATTTTGTTTTTCACTTGGGCATCTCAGTGTTGACAAGGAGCAGCTGCCTCAAGACGGTAGGGCTGTTCATAAGGACCACAGAAGGCCTATAATAAACAAGGATCATCTTCCAATACAGTGGAATAAATTGTTATATTTAAATCTTTGTTAAGTGCCCAGAGAGCTTAGGCTATCCGGTGGTATAGAAATGCAATAAAAATGAAATGAAATTATTTACTGGAGAGTTTAACTGAGAACACAGGGATGATATCTGGTCTTCTATTATTTTTCTAGCAAGCCTTCCCCCAAAGGTGCCTGTTTGGCCCTCTTAATCTGTGTTTTCCCCACTTCTTCAGATTAATAGAGTAGTTTTAAGAATGCAAGCAAATACAGGCACAAATGCTGCTTTACTGTATGGCATGTTTGTAGACAATAACTGGTGTGGTGTGCTCTGAGTTGGCAGTTGGTAGCACATGGCAGTCAGTTGATTTCTGGTAGGAAATCCAGTGTGGTGTGGTGGTTAGAGGGCTGGACTGGGAACCCAGGAGATCCAGGTTCTAGTCCCCACACAGCTGTAAAGCTCACTGGATGACCCTTGGCCAGGCACAGACTTTCAGCCCACAGAGTTGTAATTGTAAGGATAAAATGGAGCTAGGTAAGCAAACTCGGGCTTCTCACAAGAGGAAAAAAGTTATATAAAGAAAAAAGGATATTAATGCAGAACAACCACCATAATCATAGGAGATTGTATTCATATGATGATTCAGAAAGTGGTGCTGTCCTGAAAGTATGTTTGCTACATGGGCTGTTCCAGTCTTACACTCCTGTTTGAAAATATTAAAGGCCTTGTAAAATTTCTCAAGGGCCTTACTTTTAGGTCCAGGCTTTGAAGATGACATCAAAGGACAGAGGAGAGGCAACCTAGCACCCTCCAAATGTTTTGGGTTAGCACTCCAGTAATCTCTGACAATTGATTTGATGTCCACTTGAAGGGCATCACAATGCTTGACCTGGAAGGGACAGGAACTGAGGAAGGCAGTGTTCTGTATTTGTCATAGATCAGAACCCAGTGGAGTCATAAGGATATCCATATCAGTACATACACACATCATTCTTGTTCTTCCTAAGAATGTAATCTCTTAGTAATTGATTTGTAGAATTTTGAGGTAGCCCTTATGCACATGACTGCTTAACAATCCCTTCTATCCTGCATTTCTGTAGTTGGTCCTGGTTCATTTCTTTGACTTGCAAATCAAATCACAAGTGCCAGTTGAAAATATTTTTATGGGCTGTGTGTTCTGTTACTCATGCCATCAAGTCTGATGTGATAAAGCAAGGCAAGAGATTTGTAAAAACAGACCAGATTGACATTACTTCGTACAAAAAAAGGGCACATGTGATAAGACACTAAATCTGCAAAGAAAAGGTACAACTCAACATGGACTCCAAATGAGCAACTTCCCAAGAAGGGGTATAATTCTAGATGATGTGTTCAACCGTGATTGATCTAGCATTTGTGCATTGTACAATCTGATAGCTCTTTTTTAGAAATCCTGAGAATGTGAGCACTTTTTGCAGATTCTTGTGTTTGAGGAACTGAATCAGAAAATATTTGGCAGCTTCGGCTTGGTGTTTAAACTTTAGGGAATATGAGCTCACCAACCCACAATTCCGGTTTTAAGCCCTTATTTTCTCTCCCTACATCCAGATCTTAGTGCCTTTTTCTCCTGATCTCTCACAACAGGTTTCTAATTCTCATGGCTGCACAGAACTGTTTGAAAGAGAGTGAGCCTTAAATGCCTTGCATAAGTATGAGCCCCTTTCCATTACCAGTAAAGCACAAATAAATTGCACAAACTAGTAAAGTAGCAGAAATAACTAAGAATGGCAAGAAAAATCACATTTCTAATTAGTTATATGTAAATAATTTGCCTCAAGTAAGAACAATGAATGCATTACTTCTCCATGTTGGTTATTTTTTTCCCATTTCTCTTTTGTCCTCACCCAGAGCACATAGAGCCTTGAATTAGAAACACAGAAACAGTGGGAGTCAGAAGGGGTCTCCTGGGCCATCTAGTCTGACCTCCGGCACCAGCCGGCTCCGCTCACGACATGCCCTGATTTTCACAACAATTAAATCAGTTGTCAGTAAAAACCAACCAACAAAAACTCCTGCTCCATTTTACAGCCAAACTGCATGAAGGAATTGTTCAAAATGACACCAGGCCCTATTACTAAGGTTTAATAATGGCCCATTCTCCAATGGTGCTGCTCTGTCTTTAAACTGGTGTGCTCTCATTATTGTTTAAAGTCATGGTGAACTAGAAAAGAATGCCCTTTTAATTTAAAATGCATTCACATCTTCAGACATTTACATATCACAGCTGCTGTTCTTCCTCAGGTTCTTTCTCCCCATCATTTACAGCTAGAATAATATCCATTAATCACCAAGGCAGGGGCTTAACCAAATAATCTGAGCTGCTGCTGCAGTGCACAGGGACCAACGAGTTATTTACTGTTGCATTTCCTTGCTTGTAGCTTTAGTATGTGAGTTATTAAGCACTTGAAGAATGTTATCTCTTCACAAGGGCTCTAAATTTGACTACAAAGCGTTCAGAAGTGACAATAGATGAGAATGAGCACTGGATTATAAATATGGGGGGAGGGTATTATTATTGAGTCCAATCCAGAGCATGAATATATGAGAGTTAGTTTTCCTCTTGCAGTTTGTATCATGGCAACCCATCATCAAAGGTTTGCAAGTCTTTTGATTGCCTGGGCCTGAGCAAAACATTTCAGGGTTTTTGGTCTATGTGTACGAAGATGACAAGAATGTCTCTCTGTGCATGTGCACACACATGTATTTGTTAGTCTTTCTTACAGCCTGGTCATGATATTTTGTGAGTCCTGTTGGCTTTCCCAGAGTGGTCCTATGGATTTGCTGGGCAGTGGGGTGAATATGTGAGTCAGTTTGTAAAGGTGTAACTAATACTTTCAAGTGCAATCCTCTGTAAATTTCAATGGAAAAAGAGCCTACAACTTTAACCTTCCCCCAAAAGCTGTTCAAACATACATGAGCTTCCATCAATTTTCCATTTTGGTTTAGGAATAGATGAATCAAGTCACTTTCTAGCCTGAGTCAGTTTAATATAGGATCATTAGTAAGTTAAGTCTTCTTTCAGCATTAAAACAGTGCCTTGCAAAAGTGTTCGCCCCTTTTCACTTGTCCACATCTTCCAAACAAAGTTTTGTTGTTTTAGAATTTAAATAGCTTCAGTTTATGTTACTCCTTGCTGTACACAAGATAATCAGCACTGTGAAGGTGCAAAAATATTTTTAGTATGGCACAAAAATTAAGTCAACTAAAACAAACTGGCACTTGATGGCTGTATAAATATTCTCTCCCATGAGTAGAAGCACTTTGGGCAGCAATTACAACTGGAAGTCTTCTTTGCTATGTCCCTTTCATCTTTGTGCATTTGGATCCTGCAGTGTTTGCCCATTCTCCAGCTCTGTTAGATTGGCAGGAAATCATTAGTGAATGACAACTTTCAAGTCTTGCCACAGATTCTCAATTGCATTGAAGTCTTTGCTTTGACCAGGCCATTCCAAAATATTGAGGTTCTTGTTCTGAAAACACTGCAGTGTTATTTTAGCTGTGTGCTGGAAGGTGAACCCACTCCAGCCTCACG